GGGAATTTGAACAAGTCCTTTTCTTCATTTTTTATTTCAGTCACAAAATAGGTGAAATGGCAGACCATGCTATTCAGTTGACCTAATTACATATCTAAAAATAATTTCTGAAAATAATAGAATATTTCCCTATTTTAAAAAATGAGAGAAATGTAATACTGCTCTCACTTGATGATGGAAAATCAGTTCTTTAAAATTAGAATCTGTTACCAGTGTCCCTGGTTTTTTTTCCCTCCAAGCTTGTTTAAATAAACATTGAGGCACACATATTAACAGGACAAACAAAGCAAACCCCACTATAACATTTATTTCAATTAGGGACTTTCTCGGTCTGAAGATTTCCCTTCCTATAAAATACGTACGCATGTATTATTTATTTTAAATTCATCACCTTATGGGCACTATTTCCCCACTGATTTCAGCAAGATTATATTACAGATTTTGGCTCAGAATTATGCTTTATCTTCTTGGCACAAGCCAAGGTTGATCTGTGCTGATTGTTTAGTTTAGACTGCAAGTAGCTGTTGTATTAAAAAAAAAAAAAGAATGGTGGGTTCTGGTGCCTCTTAATTACATGAATTCATTATAACATACAGCAGTAAGATACAAGAGCTTGCAAATAATGCTTAACTAAAAACCAGGAAACAAGCAAAAACTAATCAATTGCATTATTTCCAACTTCAATTCCCACAAACTACTTTCTAATAGAATTGATGGAATTTGTAAGTTTTATATTTTAAATTGTATAAGTCTGATCCAGATAAATTTCCTGCAAAGAGCTGGAGGCTTTAGATACTAAACAACTTAAAAGGGAGCAATTAATTGAAAGTACTTAGAAGAGATGTGTGAGGTTAATGAGCTTATTTTCCCCAATTTTTAGTTTTTAAAGTTTCTCTTTATTTTTAGTTTTAGTTTTTATTGTGACAAGCCTAAAATAATATCAACATTCCTGCTGCATTTCTTACACATGGGAAGTGACAGATATTGAGCCTTACCAATATTTATTTGCAGAAATTAGTTTGGTAAATTGTTGTTTATCCATAGATCCAAATTAAATGAGCCTATATCTCTTGCTTCATGCCATCAGATAAAATGTTATGAAAATGCTCTTGGTAGATTGAAATTGTATATAAATTGTTGTCTCACAGATTTTATGGAAAGAATTCTTCATATGTTCATGGTGGCTTGGATTCCAATGGAAAACCAGCAGATGCTGTTCACGGACAATCTGTAAGCATTTGTAAAGTTATTATGTAAGATGTCTAAAAAGATAGCAGTTTAAACTTGCAAATTGATTTTTAGACTGGGATGTGGTGATCAGGACTTCCTATTTGATTGGGCCTGCCAATAACAAGATGACATCAATTATTCTACATTCTTAGGCTTTAAACATCAGTATAGTCCCTGAGTGTCTTTTGGTTTTTGCTATGTTACTTTAGTTACTGCATCCTTTTCAGGGACTTGGTTATACTTTACCTTGCTGTAGAGAATGAATTGAATATAGTGGCACAAATATATAATTTAAATAGGAAAGCTTAAACTATATTTTTTTTTTAAAAGATGATTTGGTTAACAGGAATAAATTTGGTCTCTTCTTTTTTAAAAATACTATGCTTATATTTGAACCTAAAATGGATAGTCTTCTGTTCAGTTTAGATCATATATGGAACACAATATGGTAGAAGTGGTTGGGAGGGGTTAAGAGCAGGAAAAAGGCAAATCTTAGAGTTGGGATGGCGAACCTATGCCATGCATGTCGGAAGTGGCACACAGAGTCATCTCTCTAGGCACGCCAGCCATCACCCATTACACTTCTGGGTTCCACATGGATGCAGGCCAACTGGTCTTCACGCGTGCAGGAGCGCTGGAAACCAGAAGAGCAGCTCCCCAGAGTGCATGCACACGCCGGCCAGCTGGTCTTTGTGCGTGCACATTAGAAATTGGTAGACCAGGTGGCCAGCACACTTCTGGTTTCCTGCGCTCCTGCGCACGTGCTTCAGGAGCTGCTCTTCTGGTTTCCGGCATGTGTGTACTAAAGGTTAGCCACCACTGGCTTAGAGTCTTCCTTTAAAACTATAAATCTTGGCAGTGGCTGAAAGAAGGAGAGAGAAGCAGTGAAGGTAGCGGAAGCTTATTTTTTAGTGCAGAGATCATTACATTAAAGAATAGGCATCCAGGACAGGCACAAGTAGGGATGCCTGAGGAGGGGGAGACAGCAGAAGATGCTAGGGAAATGTGTAGGATAAGAAAACAGTGAGGGTGATCTAGTTTTTTTAATTTTTGGTTTAGTACTCTGAGATTTCTGTTGATTTTATTTCATGTGAAATCTGGAATAGTGAAAATGTACTGCGTTTTTCTACTGGGCTCCTGGCAATCTAAATGAACTTCCAGAACTCAATGATTTGTTTTGGATTTAAAACAACCAACATATTTCTTGTTATGTACACGTCCATACTTTCATTATCCCAGTGTATTTTTCCTTTTCTCAATTTTATTCTTTAGGATATCCACAAGAAGGTGTTGTCACTGAATTTTAAGGATTGCCGCACAAAGATCCGCCACGTGGATGCTCATGCCACTATGAACGATGGTGTTGTTGTACAGGTCATGGGTGAGCTGTCAAATAACACTCAACCAATGCGGAGATTCATGCAAACTTTTGTCCTTGCCCCTGAGGTATGTAGCCAGGGAAATACTTGTCTATATTTTTGTATTTTAAATATTGCTGGGTTATTGTAAGATTTTTTTTCGCCATAAAAAATCTGTCTAACAAATTGTAGATAAGAAATCTCACTGCCTGGCTTTTACCTGCTAAACCAAAAAACTACATTGTTGCCAGGATATGTTTTGTAAGGTGAAAAAGAAGAGAGAAATAGGGAATGAAAGAAATTAAAGGGCATGATTTAGGAAAAAAGGGAAGGAAATTAATTAAATCTAGTTTATTCCACTGTTCACTGTATGAATTTATACTTCTCCATCTTTGAAAAAATCTTACTTGCATTTTTTCATCTGTATATCAATTCACATTGCCTATTGTTCTGTATATTTCTAATACTTCTTTCTGCATATTTTACCAATTCATTGAATTCTAACATTCTTAATCTTCTCTTTTTATTTAGATATTCTTTACAGATGTGTTTTGCACTTAATACTCATTTCAGTATTTTTTTTCCAAACAGTCATTTCTTGAAACAGACTTCATACTATTGCTGGCATTTTCAAGTCTTAAAATTTTTGTTTTCCCATTTTTAAGAAACTTTCTCTCAAGATATTTAAATTTGTCTGCTTTTACTTTTAACCTGCATGTATAACTTGTAGTTACTCTTTTTATTCAGAAACACGTGAAACAAAGGAATGTCACATCCCCTTATTCCAATCTTGTCATTGGGGATTGTCTGGTTGCAATTTACAGCTGGAGACAAAGTGAGAAAGAAATTGTCCAGCAGGTTCCTTTTGCCATACTTTAGATCAGAATTACTATACCTCTTAAGCTTCAAAGACTCTGTTGGAGTTACTTTGCTTACTATTCTGATACTCCTTCCCCAATCTTCCTGCTGCACTCTTCTTTACATGCCAGTTCCACATATCTGACTTACCCATCTTGCATGCTAAGTTCCCCAAATACTAGGTGTAGCTCCTCAGAAAATTGACGTACATATAACCTTCCAAGACCAACATTGGAAAGCTCAGTTTTTATCTACTGTCAGGAAGAAGTTCCTTTACCTTTAAGTTGCCTTTAAAGTTCCACTACCAGGAAGCAGGTGATCTTAGTGGCAGCATTCTTTGCTGGTGAACTATTTGCACTTATATAAAGTTGCTCGGTTTCTTCATGAACATAGGCCAGCCATATTTTATGATTTTTCTAGTTAACAGCACGGAGTTTAAACTCCCCCCTCCTCTTTTATGCACTATTATTTCTTGCAAGAATTTTTTAATGCATTTTAATTCATCCAGTGGCCTTTTCACTTTATTCCACAACACATCCTTTTTGTATTTCCCATTGTTATGAAACTTCCTATACTTCTATAGCATTCTGTAATAGTTTTGGTCTTCCAAATAGCTTCCACACATCATTTTTCCTTTTACTTCAATTCTGTTGGGAGATAAATCTGTCATCTAATACTTTTTTCATGTAACACTCAAACTCTTCCTCTAGTCCTCTTTCCTTCACTTTCTCTTTTTTTAACTTCATTTTCTTCCATGTTCAAGTTTCTCAAGATTATTCCTGACAAAAAAGTCTCACATTTGGAATCTTCCATAGCTTTTCTGTTTTTCACTAATTATCTCAGTATTTTATCATAAAAGGCCAACTATGCTTTTAGATTCAAACTTCTTCACATGCCATATGAATGAACAAATAGACTTGTGTATAGCAAATAATTTATTACAATTCACTAAGGAAAAACAATATTGTCGCCAACTTAGAAATTCCTATTTCAATAGGCACCAAGAACAATTACTTCGACACCAATTCATGCTTCCTAATGTATATTTAAGCCTTTTCAGTTATTGTTAAATCTGTAAATTCATATCCACGCATGTAATCTCAGTTCTATTTCACAAGGTCACACCACCTTCATTTTGATCTATTTTTTCCTTGCTCGCTCTTAGTTTTACACAATTTTTTATTTACTTGTTTTTTTTTTAAATAAACTTTATTACGGTCACAGACCAGCAATAGACAAATTCACTGTTTGCAATAGTGTTAAAATATATTATTATCATCAATAACAATAACAACAATAACAACAACAATAATAATAAGCAATAATGTCCCAATAATAAAATACATGGTATCAAACTTGTTCTTTTTTTAAATGTGGAATCTTTCTTAAGGCTCTGCTTGTTGACAGAAGACCCACAAATGTTAATTCCCATTACCATTTTGAACCTTTCCTAACATTTTTTAGGAAGAGAAGGAGAGAATAGATTAGGTTACTAACCATAATTATATCCTTGGCACATTTTGTCCATATGTCAGAAGAAAAGTATTCACACCATTCTAAATAACATTTAGGGACTGAATTTCAACCTAACATACAGTTTCTCATATTCATCAACCAAGTATGTTCTGACCCACTCAGGCTGTTTCCCTTTTAGTGCTGTCCTGTGAATCCTGAAGTAGTACTCAGCAATTTCAGCTCTTGAGATTTTATTCTTAATTTCTTATGTGTAATCTGTTTCTGTAAATCAGACCAAGTTATCTTACCTTTCTAGCTCCAGACTTTAGTTGTTAATACACAAAAATGTACTATCTTGTTGACATGTAAGGAACATTTTGGCTGACTAATAGTATATGTGGCTAAAGTCAATCTTCCTATCTAGCAAGGCAAGCATATCACTATTATCACAAGAGATCAAAAACATGTCCACCATATTACGATAAGATTTAAGTCTGTAATTTTTTTTCTGGCTTGTAATTTTTTTTTCTGTGATGCTTGTCCAGATTTCAGTGTTAGATTAGTATTTAATCACATTTATATCCTGGTTTTTGTCCAGAAGCCTCTTGGAACATTCTTCCTTTTCTAAGGACTAGACAGACCACAGCATAGAAGATAACTGTAATGCTTTATTATAGTACACACTTTCTCCAACAATAGGCTGTTGCTCTGAGTTAACTCCATCCTTCGAGGCTTTACAAGGTGATGTAGCCATGTAAATAAGTCTTTATTGCTTAGTCCTTACAACAGGTAAAATGGAAACAAGCCATGATATCCTTTTTAAACTACTTGCATAGATAGATACGTAAAGTATATGTGCAACTACTTTTTGAAGAGAATCTCAAAATACCAACAGAACACAATCAAGAATTTACAAAACGTATAATCAAAATCACCAATTGCTAATGCCTAGACTTTCTAACAAAGCAGTTTCAAACTATGCATTTATAATACATAAAATTGTATATATTTCAACACTTTCTTTTCTCAGTTTAATGCATACATTGCAGCAATATATTTCAGATTGATAATGATTGAGCATTACTTTGTTGTCATAACAATTCTTGGAAATTTATTTTGTCAGTGTTTATTATTAAAAGGATTTCCCCCAATGAATGAAGTCTCTAAATGACTTTTAAAAAGGAGATGTGAGTAGAAAGTAGGTGTCAGCCCCTTCTAGTAAAAAGCAAGAGACCAACTGCCAATCTAGTTCTCTTTTGGACCCCTTTTTATGACTTCTCTACTTTCTGACAGAGTTTGAAATTTTAATTTTTAGATTATTATTATTTGTAATACCATGATGAATAGTTGAAATAATGTAAAAGAAAACAGTAACTTCTCTGGTATTAGTTATATGAATTTCCTTGGGCAGCTTCAGCAGTGGCCTTTGCCCCAGGAAAGTGGGGGCATACAAAATATATGGTCATGGCTTTTCTTGCAGAAATGCTGTCTAATCGAAAAGTACATAAAATACCAGCTAATACAGGGGTGGGATTCTACTGGTTTGGCCTGGTTCTATAGAACCGGTTGTTACCGTTCCTGGTAGTTCGGAGATCTGGTAAATTGGGCCTCTGGCTGGCCCCGCCTGTTGCCGCCAACTTCTCCGCTCCCTGCCCACGCATGCGCAACATCGTGCACATGCGTAACAGACTGTAGACTGCTTTTGCCTGCCCACAAGATCAGCCATTGCTGCCTGCCTTCTGCGTCCCTGCCCAATGTGATGATCTCCCTGGGTGAGTGCAAGCCCTGGTTGCCTTTCCCCCACTACTTGCCTTTTGTTTCGCCCCTTCCCTCCCCCCACCACCACTTGCATTTTGCCACCGCTGCCAGTCGCCTCCCACCCCCGCCACTTGTATTCTGCTGGGGAATATGTGGAGAGATTCCTGTTGGCTCTGCCAGGTCAGCGGCTGCTTAACTCATCTGCTGCTCCAGCTGGGAGAGCGAGGGAGCCTCTCCTGAGAGCGAAAAACTTGCAAGTCCCCCTCCCTTCAGAAGAGCTCCCGTGCAGCAGAGAAGCATCCCTCTTTGCTGCCTGAGAGCTGTTTCCTTCCAAAGTTGCCACCTTTGGCCCCTCAGCCCCATCCCAAATCAGCTGAGTCCGTACCAGCCTGGAGTGAAGTTGGCCTCTTTGAGCTCTCTCACTCGCCACCAATCCCTGCTGGAGCCTCCGGACAGGCTCGAGTGATCTCAATCCTTTTCAGGGAGCTGACAGCACGGCGCGGTGCCAACAGCTATGGCAGCAAAGAGGAGGGCAGGAGGTGGCTTGCAATACAGCCCTTCCCAGGGGGTGAGCTTGACCTGGGTAAGGAATAAATAGGCAAAGCGAAACAAGTCAGCCCGCCTGGCTGTCAATTCAGCCATGCTGGCTGGGAGAAAAGAGAATGTTCTTTTCCCCCTGGTGCTCCCATGGGTGGATCCTGCTGGGGGAATGCCCCGCCATTGCCGCCCTGGTATGCTCTACTGCTGCCAAAACCGCTCAAGAAAACTCTCTGCCACTGGTGCAGTTCCGGGACACGCCCACACCGCTCACCTTTTGCAGCAAAGGCCGCTGCTGAAGCTGCCCAAGGAAATTCCCTACTATCCGTGCAGTTCCAGGACACATTGCAACCTCTCTCTCTCCCTCAAAGCCGTGGCTGGGCCAAGCCAGCAAACTTTCCTTGGCGCTGTTCGCTACTTCTTTCATTTCTTCTTTTTGGAATCCAGGCTAGCTGAACAATCGCCAGGTGCGGTGAAAGCGTCCCTTCGGGAGACCCTCCTCCTCTTCCTCGTGACCGGCGGCTAGGGTGTGGGGGGCACATGCGCAGGGAGACGCTCCTCAAGCGAGTGCTAAAACACAGTAAAACCGGGGGTGTGGGGGGCAGCTGCTTGCTTGAGGTAATCAGTTGATTAAGTGAATCTGGCTTCCCCATTGACTTTGCTTGTGAGAAGATTACAAAAAGTGATCTCATGACCATGGGATCAATGGTCATAAGAATGAACTAGTTGCCAAGCATCTGGATTTTGATCACATGATCTTGGGGATGCTGCAAAGGTTTGTAACTATGAAAAATGGTCATAGGCCACATTTTTCAGTGCCGTTATAACTTTGAACGGTCACTATAGAAACTGTTCTAAATCAAGGATTTACCTGCAGATGATTTTGGGATGACAGAATGAAATCAAATATAGGTGAGCAAACTACTGAATTTTATTTTTCACATTGTATTGTCTACAGGGATCAGTTGCAAACAAGTTTTATGTCCATAATGACATATTTCGCTACCAGGATGAAGTTTTTGGTGACTTGAATGCTGAACCTCCAGAGGGTGAGCTCCAAAACTTAATTTCATGTTTATGACAGTGGTTTTTTTTGGGGGGTGGTGGTGGTAGTTAATAATTCCTTTAAATAGTGAAATGGCCAAATCATGACTTGCTTGCATAATTTAACGATGTCTTTGAATAATAAAAAGGTAGGATATCTTTCAAGTCTTAATTAATTGTCCATGCTGTTGTACATGATAGCATTATACAAGTGGTCACTGTTAACCTTCTGGTGATTTTACTTTTTAGTCTAGTTTACAGCCCTGGGAATCCCTGTGTGACTGCTTAGGTATAAAGCCTAAGTGCAGCACCTGTTGATATTTCCAAAGAGGAAGCAGAACTAAAGTTACAATAATACTGAAAATCAGTGAAAAGATATGAACTAGAAAAAAGGATAATACTACCAAGAACTGTATCAGGATTTTGATATGGATTTTACTATGGATGAAAACCAGAGCAAACCTGAACCTCTTTCCCGTGTGTGCATCTGGCCACATTATTATCAATTAAAATGTGCATATACAATTTATACACATATTTAGTAAGTTGTGAAAGATTGAATGAACATTATGGAGCTGTCCTTAATGTGTACAAAGTAGGATGCAGAGTTGTTTTTCTCCCTCACCAGAATCTGAGGAAGAGGCAGAAGAGCCTGAGGAAAGGCAACAGACTCCAGAGGCAGTTGCTGATGATTCAGCAGCTTACTATGAACAGTCTGTCAGGTAAATCACCCGGACACTCCAGTTACCCTGTTTTTTGTTGCTCTAGCTGAAATAAAAGTTCAGTTCTCAGAAAATCCAGTCCTATCTCACTTTTGTTTAAAAGTTGCCTCTCATAGCTCTGCTGACAGATAATAGAAAGTTCACTGTTAATTTTAGAGTCAAATTTTCACCATTCATTAGTAATTCATTAGTAATTAGCAATCTTAGAATACGTAAACACCTATCAATTCTTTTCATTTTTAGAAATAATGTTTTTGAAAGTCATATTTTCCATATGTAGTATAAGGAAAAGAGATTGAATGATTTAAAAAAAATGTTTTAAATGATGGACATATTGCTGATTTTATCAAAGAAAATGTTTTTGCGTGCCAGTATAGAATTGAATTAAATTATTATATTGAACATTTTTATAAATAACTGAACATTTTGTAAATACCCCATAGTGTCGGGTTTAGAAACAGTGAAGATTCTGTTATTGAACTTGCATAGACAAATTGCTGACTATAATAAAAAGGTCTTTCATCAGCAGCAATGATTTGGAGGAACAGCTTGAAGAACCAGTTGTAGAACCAGAACCGGAACCAGAAGCTGAGCCTGAACAAGAGCCTGAAGTAGAAGTTCAAGAAGAAAAACCTGACCTAGTGGTAGAGGAAGCAGCTCCTGAGGAAGCTATTGAGAAGAGTCCTTCTCCAGTTCCTGCAGATCCAACACCTGTTGTACAAGAAGACTCTAGAGTAATACAAAAATGTTCTCTTATGTTGTCTTTCCATAAATTTGTTCTTTTACCTTTTTTTTTCTTTTTAAAAATGTTCATTTGCAAGAGGATCCTGCAAATTATTTTTCTGGCTTTTAGTTCCCTAAAGTTGCACCACTAAATTAATTAACTGTTAAATCTGTTTTTAATGCTGTGTCACCCAATCTAATAATACCCTTAAAATAAGAGTATGAACATAAAGCACTACCAAAATCCTTACATTTTTTTTCTTTATAGTTATAAGTTCTTTTACTTTCAGCTCATTGATGAAATGATAACATCTCCATAGATACCAGTGGCAAATTTATCATATTTCTGGCAACCAACCAGTGGTTGAAGAAATTTGGAACAGCTAACTGCAATCCGTTACTGTGACCTACAGTGTGATAATGAGCTTTCTCTTAAGTCCTATTTGCAGATAAGAGATTATTGTTATAGAGCACAGAACTGTGTAACGTATCATGTCTTTGTTATAGTTAGTCATTTGGCTGATGGAAAGCTCTCCATAGTGGGGAGGAACTCAGATGTAACCATCAATATTTGTATCTAAATGTAGTATAAGAACCAAATGTCTATAAATCTTCCCATTTATGATTTAGCTATGCAAGTTTTATTAACTATTGAGATAATTTGAAAGAAAAATTTAAATGGTCACAAATATTAAATACTGAGTGTATTCTTGTCATGTAAATAAATGAGACTGTGTACCAGTGGAATTAAAAAAGTAGAAGTTGAGAGGGGCATCTTTGAAGATCATAAGTATCTTGTACAGTGTTGTTAATAAAGCTGTTTTTTTCCAGACATCTTCATGGGCATCAGTGACCAGTAAGAATTTACCACCCAGTGGAGCAGTTCCAGTATCAGGCATACCACCCCATGTTGTCAAATTGCCTACATCACAGGTAGGAACCACCTACCAAATTCATGCAAGAGTATCAACACATTTAATGCAATCTAAAGATGCCATGAATTTACAACTAATTTGAATATTTAGCACTAGTTGATTATTGTTTATGGAGTGTTCAGCATAGGTGGCAAATGGCATTCTCCTTCCTTAAACCAGCAAACTGCTGAAGCTGCACAGTGTTTTCATGAATACTGAAAAACACTGAAAATAGGCTGTCTATTAAAAATATGCAGCTTTAGCAGTTCATGAAAACATTGCACAACTTCAGCTGTTCATTGGCTTAAGTAAGGGGAGTGCCCTGTGCCACTTTTAGTAATTGGCATCCTTGCTAAGTTATCTGTAGGTTGGATGTTCTTAACTCGGGGATTGCCTGTACTTGAAACACAGTATTAAAAGGAAGCAGTAATGGATTTCACATCCATTTTATTGGCTCGCCCACTCCCAATAACATTAGTCTCTTTCTAAAAATTTTCAGGAGAAAATTTGATCAAGAAGAATAGGAATGGTCTTTTTTTGTTTTAGTTAAAAACACTAGGCTCTAGAGCAGGGGTCTCAAACTCAATTTACCTGGGGGCTGCTGTAGGCAGAGTCTGGGTGAGGCTGGGCCGCATAAGGGATTCCACAAAAATGACGTCATTTCCGCTTCCACGTGACGTCATTTCCGCTTCTAGTCTCCTCCTCCTCAGCCATACAGAACAAACAGGCAGAGAAGGAGGAGAGCAGCTGGCCAGT